ACAATATCCAGATCACACCCAGCCAGTCAGCCACTGGTAATGGCTGTATCTTTTTCTTACAGTGTTCAGTGAAAATATCGTAACGCATCGCAATATTTCAAGTATCGTGATGCATCGTGATAGAATCGCATCGTGGCATGTGAATCGTGATTCGAATCGATTAATGACTTCTTTGCCAATACCCACCCCTACTGCTGCTGTTGTCCTTATGTTATTTTCCTCCTTCTTGATGGAACGAACTGAAGGTTTATTAATTACATAATGGCGACATGCAGCCGCATAGCTTCTACCCTCCTTTAGCACATTCAGAAGTTTAAGTTTTTCTGCAATAGTTAGCATCTTCCTCTTCCGTTCGGGCCCGTCCGCAAGTACCTTTGTAGGTGCAGAACATTTCGTCAACATTATGGGTTTTGGAGAAACTTACATTTGGCAAGCTGTTTGATGTACATTTATAATAAAATATTAAACCGTAACGTTATTGGCACACAGGCCAATAGCGTGGAGGCTGTTTAGCCAATCAGAATGCAGAACAGGATGCACAGTGCTAATCTGTGAAGCAGAGAGGCAGTGAAAGGTGAACCATGTTATGAGGGTTCACTGTGCACCAAAAAAACTACTTAAGTACTGTAATTAAGTAAATATACTCTGTTACTTTCTCCCGCTGACTATTTTAATCAGATTAAAGGTTGTTGTTTGGGAAAGATCAGAACTGAATAAAAAATTTGGAAAAAGAAACAAAATGAATGTTGGATCATTTTCAGGCAAAAATAAGGTAAATGTTGAACATAAACATTTTAAGGGTTTCCTCACCGCTGCCCAGAGGTCTGATGGCCCGGCCTGACCTTTGACCCACGAAGCAGGCGTCCTCCTGCTGCTCCCCGGTACTATCATCTGAGGGTAAAAAACACCGACTGATTCAGACTCTCTCTTCCTCACTCAGCTCCTCTGTTGTGGTTCTGCTGATGAGCTTCAGATGCATCTCTATGCTGCTTTAGTACATAGAGGAGAAACCCTGGATCTGCTGCTGTAACATCAGCCCAGACCACCATGCCTCCGCCTCCGTGCCTCAGAGCTGGTTGTGTTTACAGGTCAGAGACGAGAACCAAACATTTACAGACATCTCTGGAGTAAATCCTTTATTTTCAAACATGATTTATTTAGGAAAACTTATTTTCACAACCCTGAAGGACTCCCACTAGGCACCGTCTTTAGAACAGCTCTATTTTAAATTATTACAAAGCAAGGACAGAAAGAAGCTCTTTCAGGTAAAAAGTAAAGAATAGTCCCTTCTGGACTTTAAAAAGAAGACAAAAGAACTGACCTTCGCTGACACATTCAGACCCTCTGTCCAGAGGGATTATGGGAGGTGAAGTCTGCAGGCCCGATTTGTACAGCAGAAGAAGAACGAGGCGAAAAGCTACCCTGAAACAAAGCGCATAGGGAGCATTAGAGAATCTCTGGGGCATAAAAGTTAAAGAGCAAAATATCTTCAAAACACAAAAAAAGAAAAATTTTCCTGAAAAATAAATCTCCGTCTAAATGATCTCAGGTTGTTTTTTGTGATTTAAACAGAGGTTTTATAATGAAGGGGGAGAAAGCAGGGCGTACTTAAAGATCTGGATGAGCCCGATCATCAGCCAGCGACCCGCCTCCCCCCACAGCTTCCCGGCCCCCATCTCCAGAAACACCTCCACGTACTCCAGCACCGACAGCCAGGTGAGGAGTCTCTGCTGAGACAGTGGCTGAACACAAACACACAGCAGGAGGGTGGTGCAAGAAAAATTCACCAAACTTTAGGAAAACAATTTGATCCAGACGATAATTCATCTCCTTCAAACACAATCTGAGCTTCTAGCATCTGAGGAAATCTCTCAGCTTCACCCAGATTAACCATAAGGAAGAGATTAAACGTGCTCACCACAGAGAAGGCGCATCTCAGTCCTTTACGCAGGATGCTGTCGTTGAACAGAACCAAAAGGTTGGATGCAGAGTAAACTGGAAGATAAGTAGAGCAATCACCAATCAATGACCTTCAACCAAAGTGCTTTACACTACAGGCACTGCTCCCGGGTCATAGGTCAAATGCAGAGGGGAATTTCTCCAGTGTGAGATCAGCCTCGCTTCTGCTCACTGTACACAGGCGCCACCTCTGACCTCCATCAGTAGGCGGCGAGGGTGAACGGTTTTTCTCAGAGGACACAATGAAGCTGAAAGCCCGGGCTTCGCTCGCAGGGTAAAAACTCCTACATCCGCTGCCATCAGATCGCCCCCTGGAGGCTTAGCTAATGTTTGCTGAAGGAGTCATCTTGCTAAACCAGCAGGAGTAGAGGCTGCTTTTGGGTTTTTGTGCAGGAGACCTGACTGAGGAACTGCAACTATTGGAGCAGAGATTAGCGCCATTTGATTATTTTCTACTAAAGCTACACATCAATTTTATTCTGATTTCCCTTTGTATTAAGCTCTTGCTCCAATGTTTTTATCAGCATGAAAATATCTGAGATTTTAGATTCCAGCCAATTAAATCAAAAAATTATTTTGGTTAAAATTGGATCTCTACTCATTATCTGATCCAGGACTCTTTTATTTTTTATTATTAATTTTTTTATTTAGTATTTTAACAATTTTACATTAAAACAAACAAACAAAAACAAGAATGATCCAGGTCTCTTTACTGTAAAATTTCAGCTTTCTCTGGACAAAATAAGCTTCAAGTGAATTTATGTGGTCAAAAATTTAAACAAACAAAAAAAAAAGCATAAAAATTTTTTCTCCACAAACTGTTATTTTGTTTAAACCAGCAGAGTTTGGAAAATTCTTGTTAGAAGCATAAATCTCTTGTTAGGGAGAATCCGACCGGGAAGGAAAACTCAGGGCAGGTTCTGGTGTGAGAGAGAATCCTGCAGCGGCTCTTTACTCACCAAGTTCAGAGATCTCATGAGAATCAGCGAAGCGCCCTGAAAGATAAACAGAGGGACATGTTAGTCTCTGCGATCATTTAACCCGCCCTCACTGCGGCGTCTGATGACTGTTTGCAGGTTTGGAAACAGAAATGATTGGCTGCACGTTTGGTCTGACAGCTGCCTGAACTCGGTCTGTACAAGGGCGTAGGTTTGATTTCAACTTTGGCAGGGACACTATTGGTCTGTCGTCATTGGTCCTATGCAATAATACGCATGCTCTTTTTTTATGCTTGACATGAAAATCAGGATGTATTTCGTTTAAAGAGAAAAGCAGCATTTCTTGCTACATTTATACAAATTTTAGAAGCGCTACACACACTAGATGCTGTTTATCAATGACTGACGCTTTACTGGCTCTGATGAATGAGGAAATAGGACTTTTTTCCACTTTGAAAAGGTTTGCATTTGAAATTACCTAAGACAGTAGGTAAATCTGTGCCTATTTAACAGAATATGGTCTAAATATGTCTGTTATATGTGGATTTCTACTTTTTTTTTTTGAAGATATAGAATTGCGCAGAGGTAAACAGAGGTAAAGCCCACTCTTATCTTTTAAATGTTCTCTTTGTATCATTAAAACAAACCAATATAATAGATTCAAGGGACGCCAAATAAATGTATTGTATTTATATGAGCACTGAAAATAGAAGAGGAACTGAGACTGATCATTTAATATTAGGGATGCACGATATTGGGATTTTG